TGTGGCTTCACCCCGCTCCTAGAGGGCAGGTGGCCACAGCCTACATCAGTTACCCCATAATAAATGCTTCTGGGTGAGAAAGTCCTCTGGCCTTGAAAGTCTTCCATCTGCAACAGCCAGATCTTGCTTTCAAATACAAACCTTCAATGTCCAGAGGAAGCCTCAGGAGTTAAGTTTGTGGTATCTACCAGCTTTCTGGATTACACCGGCAGGCAGTGCTGTGAAGGGTCACTTGGGAGTTCCGCAGCCTCGTCCAGATGTTGTCAGCTGTTTGTGTCTGTGCACAGCCGAAGGGCACTGCACATGTGCGTGCCCAATGGCAGAGTGTGTTCGATGTGAAACTGCCTTCTGTGTGGGCACAAAGGTGCAGATTGGCAAGGGTCCAAGGCTTCTGGCATCTGGGAGGTATCCCTACACATAGGTACTTCACAGCGTCACCAAAACCGCTGCTTCTTAAGGGAGATAAAAGTGAGGTTGTGCTTCTGATTGCAGACAGAATGTGGACACAGATGGGGACTTTTGCATAGTCAAAACCACCATTTTTGTGCTGCCTTGGTATCCTGCAGCAGACAGTCCCTGCCGTTCACGTGCGCTTTTTCCTGCTGCAGTTAAATGGGGACAACTACATCAGACAGACCCAGAAACACGTGGATATTAATGAGCGCCTGGTGCCAAAAAGGAAGCGTGTGATGGGACTGCCGCAGGCTGCTTTGGATCGGTGCGCACCAGCCTAACAGGACAGCTGGTTGTGTTGTCTGGACATGCAATTGTCCACTTCACATCTGTGGGATGGCAAGCAGGGAGAGAAGCTGATGGGAGTTGTTTGCCACCCCTAGGAAGAGAGAGCTGTGCAGGATCTGGGAGGGAAGCTGTCAGGCCAAGCTCTCTGTGTGCGCCCCACAGCTGTACAGTCTCAGGTGTGTGTCACTGGCACCTGGGGTCTCTGGTTGTAATCACGGCCCAAGCCAGGGACTGACCACAATTTTTGTTTGGACTACCTAATAGGAAAAGGTGTCGTACATGACTGAATGTATCTTTTTGTAAATATACTTAATTCATGTAAAGCCCCCTTATCAGCTAAGAGCTTGACCGCTAATGCTGATAGGCTTGTTTGATGTAAATAGAAAAATATGTCTTGACCCTCAGTAGAGGGCATAGATAAGCGGTTCCTTTATCTAATTGAGCTAAAAAGATAAATACATACCCAACAGAAATAACACTGAGTGATCTGTCCTATTCCACATATATCTCCCTGCAGAAATAATGCATGGTTGGAGCTCATCAGAACCAGATCTTTGGCATAAAGGATCTTCCACAAGTGTGGCTGCAGTGAGCAGATTTGAAAAATGTGTGTGCTGGCTTCAGGTTTGCTGAATGTTACTGCAGTGACTAACTGGCAGCTGCAGCAGAACTTGTGCGGAAATATTTTCTGGAGGAGACAAGGAACTTAGCTGGACTGAAAGCTAATGGGATAATTTCTTCCAGCTTGGATACCTCATAAAAATGTAGGCAAGAACTTCAATTTTAGAAAGACACTGAGTTTCAGAATTGTTCAAGTCTAAGCTCTGTATGAGCTTGATAGTGTTTAATGCTATATTCATGGTTGGGGACATGGATGACTTGCAGATGGCTCTTGGATGTTTTGGCTGCATTCTCCCGAGTTGAAACCTGCTCTCAAACTGAGTATTTGGGTGAAAGATTAAACCTTTTACTAGGGAAATGGGCCCAACAGACCATTCCTGCCCACTGCCCGGTTTCTGAGGAAATGTGCAATGGAGGATCTTGAATCACAGCAGGCTGATTCTCTTATGATCAATGATCTGGAGAGGATGGGCAGCAGCAGATTGCACAGAGGCTGGGAGGGCAGTGGCCCTTGTTCTTCCTCCGGTTTTGGGTTAAATCAGAAAGGGTGAACTTTTTTGGGTTTCGTCACTGGAAGTCAGTGCATCTGTTGATCTCATTTGGTTGAGAAACAGTTAAAACAGCCAGTTGCTTCTAGGAGCGTTAAACAAAAATCACACCACCACCTTTCTCAAAACAATTCAAACGTGCTCAACCTTGTGGCTTCAGCAAAAGTAGCAATGTGCGAGTTCCCATGAACTCTGGCTAACCTCTGAGATTTATTGATAAATGAAAAAATAAGGGGCCAGGCCCTGAAACCTTTCCTTTTGTAGGCACTAGTCTCAGTATGTTAACAAGAAGCCCAGGGCTGGGTTCAGGATGTTTACTGCTTTTAGAGATGTCAAGGAAAATGAACTCGAAACAGTTTGAAAAACCAATGTAAAGGAGAGAAACCTGTGATTTCTGTTCTGATTGTCAGCACGGTCGTCATCTGGGTGTTAAAGCAAGTGTCATATGGAGCACATTGCCCTGCTTAGATAAGCTGCATGGACATTGATGGTTCTTTGCCACATGAACACGTGTGTCTTCTGAAGCCTTCAGCCCTCTTAGTGTGGAGTCTTGCAATAGCACACTCACTTTTTTGGGTGGTAGTGCTGAGTTCAGTAGGGTGCCAGTGTGCAACCATTGCTTATGGAGACTGCTGGTGTTGGGGTGAGCTGTTGGGTGGCTTTGCTTCTGCCACTTTTTTTCATAACTACCTGAATAGACAGAGAAGGTCTGGGGAGGAGAGGCAATAAAATTTAGGATGTCTCCAGCATTCTTTGATTCTTTTGTCTCCACTGATTGAACCTTTTCCTTCGGTGATATATAAAGGGAAGGTTTTATTAGTGTATGTTGGGATGATGTCAGAGCTAAGGAGAAATTATGGTGTGTGCTGTGTAATTCTGCCACAGGACAGAAATCAAAACTGAATGCCAAGCCTTTTCCCCTTCCTTATATTCTTAAAACTATTCAATATCAGGTGCAATGCTAGCCTAGTATTGATTGGTTTATTTTTTCAGCAGAGAAGTACATCTCCATGCTTCAGTGTAATTATGTAAATCAATGTTGATTCTTAACATCGTCCTTTGCAGAACGTACAGCAGCCCAGGAGAGACTCACTGTTTCGATGGGCTGGTCACCTGCTATGTGTGGTAGTCAGAGACATGGAATTATCAGTGTACTTGACTCCAGACAAACTCTGGAGATAAATCAAGGTGCCAGCATGTCTAGCACGACTGTATTTTGTGGAAGGCCCTCTCTAGCTGTATTGCCAAGACATTCAATGCCTGGAAACATTTGCTAACAATGGCCTCCAACAAAGGAGCCATAGCTGTACAGAGAAAGCTCGCTAACCAGGATTGACGTCAGCTGGGATGGGTGCTGACCAAACACCAGCATCTGTTGGGCTCCCACTCATCACTGCCCACCTGCACTCAGCTATGGTGGTGTCTGTGGTGTGGGTCTGGTGAGGGTGTGTCCCATTTGTCTTCCTCCTGAGGTCTGTGATAGTGTGTAAATCCTATCAGTCTAGTTTATGAGAAAAAGCTTTGCAATCCCAGGAATGCTTCCATGGAAGGAGGACACTTACAAATATACAAAAACTCAGCTGGATTTAGATTTCTGTAGAAGAAAACATGACTGTGACATATCACCTGAGAATGAGGAATCATTTTTCTTTGATGCAAAATGACTTAGTCTTAGAAATAACAGTCATATGCAATTTTGTGCAGATAGGACCTGGGTTTTAAAATGACATCAGCCTAGCTTTTAATTTTGCAGGTGTAAATTGCACCTGCAAATCATTTTGTCTGCAAACTGCAGCATTTGATATTTGATTTCCTGATTTCCTACGGCTTAATTAACTGATGTCAGTTAATTATTTTGATGTACAGCTTTGCAGGCACTACTATTTCAGAAACAAAATTGCAATCTCAAAGCATCAAACCCATTTCTGAACATCTGATGGAAGTGAGGAATTAGGACACGTAGCCCATCCATTGTTCAGATGAATCTTTTGGCATTATTCTCCAATATCAGATTAGTGTTGGTTATCATGGCAAAACACTGCAACTATGGCATCTGCTGAGCAATTTGATCTAACCAAGCCAAGAAACTGCAATTCACAGCAAGATTCCTCGTTGTTTCTAACATACATTCTTGTGAACCACATTTTGTGAGTCTCTGTATCATGTTTGCTCTTTTAATAGCTTTATTCCCTATTGCCTCCCTTTTCCTAGCTTTGTTTTCAAAACTAACCACTTACCTGGTCTAAAATTACCAGTTATCTATTGCTTAATAATGATTGTGGGGTGTGGGTATTCCACTAGTGTAGTGTGTGTCTGTATGTAGGCACACATGCAGTCAAAGCCCTAGGAGAGTTCCTACCCACCACCATAGAATCTTACAGCTTAAATACAAAGCCTCTGCATCCTTTTTTAGGAGGTAGCTGAGATGTAGTTAACTCAGCTGCAGTAAAAATTTTCAAAATGAAGCATTTCACAGTAAAAAGCCTTTTCTGGGGGGTAAAAAAAAAAACAAAAAACAAACAAACAAGAATACATACAGGTTTAGTTCCTTGGCAGCCACATACAGGTTGCCAGATTGATGTGCTGAAACCTGGAGTTTTCTCTTTACCCTGTGGTGAGCCAGAACATGTGGGGTGGGGAGGTGAGGACAGTGCCAGCTACCCAGCACCTTGCTTCCCCAGCACGCATCAGTTCTGGATTGCGGGACAAGAAGCTTGCTCTGGTTAGGTCATCCTGGGTGCTGAGATTTCCTAGAAGAGGAGGTCTGAGGGGTGGCAACAGCTGTTGAACAGGAGTTGGATGGAGACATTGTGCTCTCTGGCAGCAGAGATCTCCCAGCATTGCTGCTTGCTTTGTGCTAAAGGGGGAAATTCAACCCCTGCAAAGGTAACTCAGTTAAGTTTAGAGTGTGGTAAAGGTATGAGTCTGATAACACATCACCAAGCTTCCCTTGGTAGTTTTGTGTCACTGAAAAGTTGTTGGTATGTGATTGAAAGCAAGTACTCCAGCCCAGTTGTTAAATGACTGATTTGTTGCTGTATACATTGTTTGCATCCATGTTTTACTTACAGTCTGTTGTTATTTTAACAGGGTCGCCATGTTAAGACTGGGCAGCTAGCAGCAATCAAAGTGATGAATGTTACTGAGGTGAGTGGAAAACCAAAAATAAAAAAGTTGTTATCAAGGTGCAAGTTAAAATAAATAATCAGATCGTGAGAAGATGGATAACTTATAAAAGACAATACAGTGGTATAAATTATGGTTGCTGAGCACTGGTTTGTGTTTTATAAAGTACTGAGAGGTGTTAATACAACCAGATTTTTCAGTTTTAACTGACCAATGGTGACAGAGCAATAGGGGAATATATATTTTGATGGTCTATAATAACAAAGAGAACTCTCTTCCTGCTTATTTCTAGTTGATTATCTGTTTCCAGAGATAGCAAGTAAAAGATTTCCTGTAGCTCTGTGCTGCCCCTGCTGTGTTTCATCACATCCTCTCCCCTCGTGTGCCAGCCATTCCTCAGAGCAGCTACGCTGACAGCTAGCAAGCAGGGACATGTTAGAAATGCGAATGTAGCTTTTCTTTATTGTTATTTGACAGATGAGAGAAGGAGACAGTTTAATTGGCACTGTCCCTGCTCACATTTATAAAGTGGTGTCAGTGCTGGAACAGGGTGTTGAAAAAGTTGCCAGGTATTGTTTTTTGTTTCTCCTTTTAAAAGCAGTAGCAAAGCAGTTTGCCTCCTTGAGACCCTGTTAGCCTGAGCCTCAGAAAGGTTGAGGAGACTCCCTACTTCTTCTCAGGTTTACTGGAAGTCAGTGGTTTGGTAGGATACACCTAATCCCACTGAAGACAAGCTCCCCATTCTGCGTCTCTGGCAATGTAGATACGGAGTACACGACTCCAAGATAAAATGAGAGTCCTCTTGCAATATTGTGGAAGGGTTATCTCCTGAAATAAAGAACAGGGCCAAGTCTGCCAGTGGTAGATTGACACGTGGTGTTTTGGGCAAGCACAAGCAAGCCTTGCCTGTGTTTTCGTATGTCATTTGATTGTCTTGGAAGACAGCAGAACAAGTTGGTGTCTGCATGAGCCTTGTCATACAGAGAAGGTCCAGGACAGTTCCCTCTGCTGATGGTGTAGGAATCCAGCCCTCAGCAGCAAGTGGTCTGAATTGCACGTTGATGTTTTGGACTTAGATTCTACTGTAATGCGTTTACAAAGCATATCTAAGGGCTGGTTTGGCTATGGCTGCTACCTTGTGAAATGTGCACATGTGGTTGAATTACCAGTTTTGCTCTTCTCTGTGCACAGAGGAGGGTGCATTTTTTAAATGAGCGCTACATTAGATTGGTGGGATTTTTGCTTTTCGATCTGTAGGTACATATATCACCAGATGCTTTGGCTTTAAATAATGGCAGTCACCAAACATGAGGCTGCTAGATTTTGGAAGGGAGAAGGGCGGGGTCTGTGTTGGAGACAGATTCCTGAAATCAGGGCACCTCCCTGCTTTGACAGAGGAGCTGATAGGACAGATCCTGGCAGGGACTCAGAAGTGATCCAGAGCTCCTGTAGGGACTGCTTTCGTGCTTGACTGGGTAAGCAGTGCGCGAGGGCTGGCCAGAGATGTCACTTGTGGGCTGTCCTGTTAGCACCAGCGACAGTCCCTTCCTTGATGAAACAATTGAAGCAAAAACTGCAGGAAGGGAACCTTGGAAAGATTTCCTTCCCTTTGCTATACATAACACAGTCTCCTTTGTATATAAGCAACAAACTGTAGCCTCAAGTAATGCCTGTTTGCTTGGAAACAAAATTTAAATGGAGGACAACCTTGTGGTCCAACTTCAGGAATTCACATTGGTAGACTTGAATGATTCTGGGAACAAAAACCATGTGTTGGGGTCTGATTTGCTGCTTCCTTGCAGGCTAGAGAGCCACCATCATACTGGGGAACCTGTCCCATTGCCTGAGGAGCAATGATAACAGATCATGCTGTTTTCATGTTGAGTCACTTAATGTGAAAGCAGTTGTGACAGTTTGGGAGGTGAGTGGTGAGCGTGTTGGTGCAGCCACCTGGAGGGGTTTTCCCTGGTGCTCTTCCCTCACTAAACCCCGAACAAATCCAGTTCAGCTCTACTTGAGTGTTTCTGCTTTCTGACCTTAGTGCAGGGTGAGTGCAAGGCTTTCTGCTGTTATTTCCACTTTTTTAATGCGGGGTTGGCTGTGTTCCCGCTGCTTGGGCAGAGGCTGGCAGACCTGGATGCAATCCTCCTCTCTGTCACTGGTCTCCTCCCGGCCCTCTGCAGTGCCTCTGCGAGATGTTGTGCAGGAGTGACTCAGGCGGTCGCTGCCAGTAGCTGCCAGTTCTTCCTCTTGTAGCCATCTGCTGTGCCCTGGGGTTGTCCTCTCCTCAGCCACCGCATCTGACAGCCTGATGTGTTATGGTAAACCCTGATTGCTGTCAGCACAGCAGCCCATGGATGGCTGTGTGCAGTGGCAGCGTGGGGCTGGCAGCTGCAGTTTTACCTTCAGACACCTCAGTGCAGATTCCCAGAGTGCTTGGGGTGAGCCACATCACTGCAAGAAATGGGATTACTGCTGGCATCCTGAGCTGATCCGTCTGGACAGGGACTGCGCTGCTGGTCTTGTAGTGCAGAACAGATGGGGTGGTTGAAGCCAATGC